CTGAGTTAATGCGTCAAACCCGGGCTCATAACCTGTGAAGGATATGGGACAAGCGTATCCTGTCGATATATTCACTTCTATTCAAGAGCAACAGCGAGAGTGGTAAAAGAACAAGTAGAGATCAATATCGTCTGACAAAGAAAGGAACGAATAATTCTGATAGATAACTCTTAGGAAAAGAACGGCGACATACAGAGTCTTTTATAGAGAGTAGAAAGAACACGATGAGAAAGAAAGACAAAGGATAAAACAATCAAAAGTAAGAAATCCGTCGCAGTCCTGACCCTTCAAACAAGATAGAAACAGATCAAGTATCACGACTAACATCTAACACTGGATTGTTCCAGTTCTCATACCACTTGTTTAATCGCCATTGACCCCTACTTCTACTATCCATTTCCAGCGGGTGTGATAGATTCCCAAACACTAATAGTTTCTGGTGATGACGCCGAAACACTAGGTCCAGCCGTAGTCTGTTTCAACAAAGTGATTGTGTGGTGGTTCGAGGGCCGCACCCTTAATTCCTTGAAGGTGATATTGCGCAAGTAGTGCTTGTGTGGTGAGGACCTACCGGTAATAGCCATCGCCCGAGCATACTGTAGTACTTACTGTGGATGGAACGGAAGAATCCTATGCCAGGTTCAGCCTCGTGACATTAAAATTGGGACGCGAAAGCCCACGCCAGGCATTGTATGCGCCGATCAGCCAAGTGTGCTATTCACAATGCCGTTTGCCTGGAGCAAAAGCATTGGGCATCGCGGTGATCGTGACTGATGGTGGCCTGTGGGTGTGAAGCAGCAGGTAAGATCCCGGTGCGCTCGACAAAGCCGAAACCGGACTTCGAAGGATCATAAGCTTCAAGGTCGGGGTTTTAGCGCGGAGAGTGGCATATTTGCACTACCATCATCCTACCGCCGGTATGATATTTTGCACACTTCTGTAACCCTAGAGAAAACAAAATAACGAGTGACATAGTGTCCACTTTGAGTCCACCTTAGACTCCAGATTACCTATCTCGCGGGACTAGAAGGCATGCCGGCCCCTGACCTCCTTATATCATGTTCTTTTGAGCCTCATCATTCCGCTTCTTGTTCTCATTTTCCATTTCTCTCCTTTATCTTCCCCTCTTTCCTGCTTATTCTTTCAAAGTTCGACCGCTCGTACGATTTTCGCCAAGGGTTTAAATTGGCCTTCCCCTTCCATCCCCCGTCTGACAGAATCACCTCGCAGCAACAACGAATGCCGTACCGAGAAAGGCCCGAAGGAAAATGCCGAGAGCGCTGTGTGGGCGCCGGTCGGCAGGGCAAGGAAACGCTCTTGCCTTACCGGTACCGTACTCGTACGGTAATGAATTGCCCAAATACCCAGCCCTGACCAATCCAGTACCGTATCATACCCCCGATACCGAGATGACACATACAAGTACCGGTATCATATGATATCTTCGAGCATAGAACCCGCCAAGACACACAATCACGCCCGCGTGGCTGGCTTTTACTGCGTCATCAAAACAACACCCCCGCATGACGATCATCACGAGCAAAGTCTTTTCTCCTTACGACATTAACTGCGGACGCACTTCCAAGCAAGTGTCGGGACTGGGCCAAGTTTGCCAGCAGGATTTGGCCTTTGCTCGGGACCAACCGGAGCGGGAGCCAGCGCGTTTCCCTCGTTGCAGTGCCGTCGAAAGAGCTTACCTACCGGTACGGTAGTCCCTGCTTGCCGGCTTGGGGGGAATACCTTTCGCGGAATGAGGGCGAAGTTGGGAGTTTGCCGGTGGAGATCATTATCTACGGATACAGTATCTTGACGAAGGTGAAAGAAGCACTGATGAGGTCCGAACCGCGACACCTACTCCGGGCGCCATCGCCTGCTGCTCGGATATAGGCGTTGGTCAAAATACCGGCATGTACCGGAACTGAGTAGCTGGGAATGCGCAGCGGTTTGATTGTCTGTGACGAGAAACCCTACAACAACAAATGCATGCTCACAACCAACCACTCACAAAGCTGAACAGAATACCGGTATGAGATTTCTACCCTTCCAGGGATGCGATGAGCCGGCACTTTCTACTCGCTGGGAACGGAGGACCCGGAGAGGCTCTAATGAACAGGGCACGGTTGCCAAAGGAACGGGCGTCATAGCATGGTTTTGTGCTGATCGTCAATATTAGGAAAAAACTTGATTCCTCATACCACCTACGGGTACTCGAGCACTATTACGTGCTAAGCTTTCGACGATTGTTATATAACCTTCGACGCGTCCCCTTCAATTTGTATTCCGTTAGCCACAAACGAGCAGAAGTGTCACGCCGCAGACGAAAGCGAGAAATATAAAGAGTGTCAAAAACTATCCTCCCACCTTTTCCCCTCCTTCCTCCAAACATCTCCCTTCCACAATCGCCGACTCTAATAGAATCTACCCCTAAACACCGCAATCATGCTGCCCGGATTGTTTTTCACGCTTCTCCGCATCTCGCAAATCCTCACCCTCATCCCCATATGGGGAATACTGGCCTACTTCGTCGATAAGCATCCCATGATTGAGAATAGCCCTTTCTCCGACATCCTCTGCCTCTTCATCGTCGCAATCTTCGCAACAGTCTGGGCAATCGCCACGATCTCACTCTTCTACCGCCGCCATGTCCCCATGTGGGTCGCCATCATCGACCTCTGCCTTTTTGGCCTTCTCATTGCTGGTGTCGTGCTTCTAGCGCCCTTCGTGCGGAATACGGATTGCATGGGTGTCAACTGGACCTGGGGATACGCGGACGGATACTGGAGCAAGGAGTGCTCCATGTATAAGGCGGCATATGGTTTGGGCATCATGAACATTGTCATGTTCTTCCTCACCGCGGTGTTGGCGGCGTGGATTTGGAGGAAGCACACCACTATTGCGGTTTATCGGTATTGAGTTAGGTTTGGTGTTTGATTTTGGCTGGCCACGGCTATCCTTGCGGGTTTGCCGGCAATGGTCTTGTGACACGAGCGGTGTTTGGCTTTGCTTTCTTTTTTTTTTGGTGAGGGCTGTGTATTTTTATAACTTAATGAATGAATGAGGGGATGGTGGGTTTGGGTATTCTTATGAAGATTTGTTTGCGTTGGTGACGTAATTTTTTTTAAGGTGCAAAACCGATAAACGGGGAATAGTTGTACCGTGTTGGGGCTTTGTTGGACCATAAAGTCTAGAACCCCCCCCCAACGGTGCTCGCACAGGTACAGTACCGCATGTTATTGGATAAAGAACCATAGAGAACTACCGTACTTCTGTTGCTCCATACTGTTACGAGTAGATGGATTCCGCAATGCAAACCCCCCTACACCGTGAGAACAAAAGCTAACCCCGCCCTACTGTAGGTCCAAAGGTCACCCGATCGCCTATCTCGGCCTCTATCGCCGTGGCAAGGGCGATCCCTGAGGGGCAATGGCGTCTGCATTCCCTTGCATAATCGCCCACTCATTCTCCCACCAATCTAATTGCTCCTATATCCTCTACCTTCAGACACACCTCTTAGTCATTTTATCACGCTCGGTGAGTCTGGCAGCCCAGCACACCGACGCCGTATTCCGCGATCATGTTGGGAGGGCTGCGCGAGTGATTCCTCGTGTACTTAAATGGTTGGGGAGAGGTCGGCCAATTGGATTTCTAAATAAGAAAGACTGGCAACGCTTGGAGTTTTGGGTGGGATTGTGGGGAGGGGGGATTTGCTCCCCGGACCAAACCGTAAAGTTTCGATTGGGGCTGTTGGAAATGGAAGTGGTGGATGATGGCACTGTACGAGCACTCATACCGCGCTCGAGTACACACATCCTTCGCTGGACACGACAAGGGGATACGGGTATGATATGACTTTAAGGTTGGACGAGGGTTTCCGTTTCCCCGTTTGGCCGAATGTCCGATGAGAAGAGCTACCCGGGGGTTTTTACAAGGCTGATTGATTCTAGGACCTCGGCAGTGACTCTGTGGATGGGTGGGCGATCACTTCTACGGTTCTCAGTGCGCAGGTACGGTAGAATCTGTTTGAAGCGAGGTATTGTACAGTAGTCTACTGTGCCGTAGTTTATCGCACCTAGCTATAGCGAACTCAAAAAAGCTGTTCACCCTAGGGACCAGCCAATGGCAAGGCTAGAAAGACAGCTAACACACCAATCGCAGTGTTTTCTTTCACTACCCGTTCACATAGCTAGGTGCAACTGTAATACGGTAATTGGATCGCGCGCTAGGACGTCGTCCAGAATTTCTTTCTTTGGATTAAGGAGGGTTAACGGGGGGCGAAAAAAGCTGGCTTCTGAGACAAATCAAAAAGAAAAAAAAATACAACAAAACCTTACTGGAAGAGGCAATCCCAACGTCCTAGTGCAGGGTCCAATTCCCGTACCCTATTCTGGTTTCTGATGTACTCGTACACGAGCACAGGTGCTCTAAATGAGCTCTGCTCGGTTTGGACTTCCTGCATTTGGCTTGAGAATTATGTGTTGGACTTTCCCACTTGCTGGATCCTACAGGGAATAAGTCAAGGAGGTGAGCTGTTCATGGCAAACTATAGTTCTACAGCCGGCTAAGGGTAGGAACAAAGCAGGTGTTACAGAATTTTACTAGGTGTATGTCTCGGTATTTGAGCACTGCCACGCCTTAGCCATTGTTTGCGTTGAATAAGACTCGGAAGTTCTGAGTTTGATTCGGGTGCCTGCTCGGCGTAGGCCTGACCAGAGATACGGCCATCGTGTTTCGCAAGAGACCTACTATGCCTTCATGCCGAAACACTTTCAAATGCCGCGCCCTAAATCATCCTCATTGTTAACAGTGTCGGGGCCTAACACCGTGCAGCTTCTCGCGAGGAGAGGCGTTGGAGGCGGCAGGTATCACAGGCGATGATATTCGATCTCTACATACCGGCATGCAATTCGGATTGCCCTTGGGCCTTAAAGGCAGAGATGGTTCCATATCTTGTGAACTGATATATCATTATTGACCCGTAGACCTCCCAGAGTGCCGAGGCAGGGGCCTGGGAGCGTATCGCACTGCTGGATGACAGTTGCTGTGAATGTAACACCCCCAGCTGCTTGGTTCACAACTAGTGATTCGTGGGTATTAGCTTGTAGGGAAAATAGCATGTATCATGCAAACAATTGAAACATTACTTAGCCGCACATTTTTATCGCTTTTTTTTATCGCTTGATACATCTATCCACTCTCCTGGGAGCTTGTGCTACCGGCTAGTTTAGCTTGCCAGCCTAAATACCGGTATTTCAACATGGGATAGAACCGACATCCTGGGTTGCCGTGTCCAAGGCCCACTGAATCTAACTCTAAGCTATCTACATGTCTTGGACTCCTCATCGCACCTTCGATCGACTAGCTCCGACCGTATCGCGATTCTGTCCCTCGGCCCGCTGCCGCAGCAACATCAGACAAACCTGTGCTAACCACCCTACGTATCAGGGCGAGACAGGATAAATATTCGGTGGCCACGAGACGGTAGAGACCCTACGCCTGCGAATGCAACACACACTCTTACGACGATCCTACAGCCACGGATGAGGGTACGGAGTCATTGTGCCAGGACGACTAACCTGCTCTGACTTTTCTACGGTGTGCGGCATCCCTGCCGGCTCACGGGAATATAAAGCTACCTTCCTCCCCCCTTCTCCCTTCTCACTCTCCCCTCTTCCACACCATCGGTCCCGTCCCTTCCTACCGGTACAGCTTCGTCACAGCTCACGGAAGATCCTCCGATTCGCAAACAGATAAGAAAAAAAACTTACGATGCATCTATCAAACCTCTTGCTATTCCTGGCGCTCCAAGCTGTCATCGTGGCTAGCACCCCCCCGCCTGCCGTGGCAATTGGGGATATCTCTACCATCACTACCACTACGTCCCCGCCCCCGGGCACGGCCACCGTACAGACCGTCAAAGAACTGCGAAGGCGCAAGGGCAGGGGCGGTGGGAGTAAAGGGAAGGGGAAGGGGAAGGGGAAGGGGAACGGGGAAGGGCGGTGGCGGTTCTGCTGCCTCGGGGAGGGTTGGTGGGGACGTTAGTGGGGTTTTGGTGTTTATGTGTTTTCTTTGTGTGGGCGGTTTGATGGGGTTGGCTTGAGTGCCCGTGGTGGGGAATGGGTCGGGGGAACGGGGGGTGACGGGTCTGGTGCACACTTTTTCATTTTCCTCATGGCTTAAATATCAATTCATTCATGCTTCTCCTTATTTTCATCCGGCTTTATTTGCAGTGGTGGTGAAGTTTTTCCCTTGAAGGTGCAACACGCTTTTTTTTTCTTTGTATCTTTGTTTGCCTGCGCGAGTGAATGGTGGAGAAGGGTGCCTGTCTGTCTTGTGACTCTTGTCCCGCCTGTCCTGTGCGGTGGTCTGTCGGCCATCTCTCCCCTTCTCACAAATCTCTACTATACCCCAATATCATACAAAGAACTTATTTATTGTACGATACCGCCACACCAATAGCCCAATTTACCGTGAGCTAGACTCCGAATAAACGAATCCAACGCCTGCCCTTGGACCAGTTTACTAGTAGCTCATCTACCCATCCCTCCAAGTTAGCCCGGCGCACGATAGATGGACCACGGTAACACGGGTCCCGAGAAATATGATAAAAAACTTTCCCCCAGTCTCCTGATAGCGCAATGTTGATCGTATCATATGCACCTGCCCCTCGCGATGTCTAATGTGACGTATGATAACGCTGTTTTGCCCCACACTTATCAGGGGGTCTCATCTTATCTAATCAGATCACTCTTTACTTGTACGAGTACTTTCCGTCCCAACCCCGAGCCGCCTGGCAGCAGCAAGACATCCTCTGGCGGGCCAGGCGGAACGAAAGGAAGGAAGAAAGAGGGAGAAAAAAAAAAGAAAAAGAAAAAAACAGAAGGTGAAGAAGAAAAGATATCTTTTACTTGGTCAAAAACACACAAGAGAGCTTCCGGCCAGATTACGAGGAGCTAGGTGCTACCGTGCGGAATTGGACTACGGGGCGCAGGCCAGCAACCAGTGTTGCTCGCGACGGGGTGTCACTCCGGGGTGAGTTGGTGACTGGTGTCACTTTGGACTTTACTGACTCCCCGTCAGACAGGTATCATGATGGGGTGTCATGCTTAGTAATATGCAATGAATTCACCAACTGCTACGCCCAACCGGGGAGAGTGATTCTCTGTACTCGAGTACTCAGAGCGTAGGGCATTATCCAGTGTTCCTAGAAGCTCTTCCCCTCAGAAAGAGCTGCGGAATCGCTTTCCTTCCTGGCATAATAGTGCCGAATATAAACTATTAACTCCCTCGAATGAGAGTTCAACATACATAAACCTTTACCCAGCTATCGACACCCCGTCGCCCTCTTCACTGACACCCTGTCATGACACCCCCCGTCACTGACATGACAGTATCAGTTACCTGTCACCCGTCACGAGCAACACTGCCAGCAACAGAAGGAGCAAACGTTTTCCAACTCCCTTGGTGAACGCACGGGTGCGCTGGTCGCGTCGTGTCACGGTGGGGAAGGTAAGTTAGATTTCTCACCGTACTGTACGGTACTCGTACTCGCTGGTCGCGCGCCGTATGCATGTTGCGTCACGTGGAGGGTGCGTGGTTTGCCATACTGGAGGCTCCGCCGCTGATTCGACCCCTTGGTATCTCATGCTCCCTACGGTGGCGGTGTTTGACGGACACGGTGTTGAGGTGGATGCATGCTTCGCTGTATTTTACAGGTGTGAGCTATGATAGCTGTCTAAATAAATACACAAGCAAGCACTACCGTATGTTCGATCACAATCTCCTCAGACCCTTAGGTCTACAAACCCCCAATATCACAGTCCCCCATCTCCGCAATGCTACCAGGGCTACACGTACCGACACAACAACATACATAACAAGTGGTAGGGCAGTTCGTAAAGCTTCATTGTGAAAACGCTGCGCGGAGCGGCGCGGGTAGTGGTACGGCGGTCCGGTCTTAACTTATGGCGGCAGTAATGATCGTCGTATACATGTGGCACGTATGTTTCCTGACTGCTTGGCTTTCAATCACGCCGGGGGTTCGGAAGTACCGCATTCGGGTTGCCATGGAGAGGTTGTCAACAGACCTGTATGATAGAGGGTTCGGGGTTGGGACAAGTATTTACCAGGCTCAAGCTTTAGGGTAGTTCGGCACTGCTATTTGAGGGACGTATACGGTACTTGGCTTGCTTGCCCGTGCCGGTATTTCGGGGTATGGTACGGTGCCTTGTGTTTCGGAGCGATTGGGGATATATTGAGCTAGGTTTGGTAGATAGGGTGTGATATGGTACGGTATGGCACGGTACGCTGTGGTACGGTGCAGTCTTGTGGTATTATACTGCATGGTGTGGTACGGTATGGTAATAGTATGGTATAGTCCAGTTGGCATGGTATGGTGCCGTCCCGTACGGTGGTGGTATGACACCACCCCGTATGGTAATAGTATGATACCGTCCCGTATGGTAATGGCATGGTACCGTCCCGTATTGTAATAGTTTGATACCGTCCCATATGGTAATGGTATGGCACCGTACCGTATTCTAGTGGTATGGTATCGTCTCGTTGGTATGGTATGCTACGGCATCGCAGCACGGGGGCTCAGCCGGACAGCCACTGGTTTAGACACTTTATGGGTACGTATTGGTAGGTGCGAGATGGACAATTGTACATATGGATAACATGTATTGGCGCCATGCTGCGCCTATATCGGGTGAATGAGGTTCCCCTGTGGAGGCTGCTATTCTCGGGACTCGTATCCAATTTACACTAGTTATTCCACCCCCCCCCCTTCCTCGGGCTTCAACCGTGGCTTCTTCTTTCCATTTTTATGGCCATTTTTGTGAAATTCCCGTATCGCCAATGTGGTTAAATTACGCCTCACGAGTAGCGCCCCCCCCCCCCCCCCCCCCCGACGAGGGCTAGGGTAGTTTGTCTGAAGGAAGCTACGGTACTGGTAGGGTTAGGTTAGGGGACTTTCTTCTGGAAAACGCTAGGATGGAAGTTGTGATCGCGCGTTAGAAGCTATGATAGGTACTGCCGAGCACGGAGAATGGGAGGTGTAGGTTTGAGGTTTGAGGGGTCATGGTGTGTTCCCACCCGCTTTCGAGAGAGTAGCGGGGTGGGATGGAATGAAGTGAACAATACAGTACAGGTTTAGGTTTGCGGTGGAGAAAAACTGCGTGACAGAACTGGCAGATATTAAAAACAATATCTCTTTGGGCATACAACCTTTGGAAAATACTCCCATATAACATACTGTTTGCGGGCTCCCACACCTCCCCAGGGCGTTAGAGCGATGCACGAGTGATGGAGAATGACGGCGTTGAGGTGAAGCGCCTTATTACAAGTTAAGGGAAACTAGCGGGGAAATGATGGTATGACAGAAGATAGAAGCATATGGTGGATGACCGTTTGCCAAATGTGTTGCAATCCATCCCAGTCTGACGGGGAGAATTCAAGCGGATATACGGGGCTTTCTGAGAGCAGATATTTATGTTGCGTGTATTGATTAACGAAAGGGGGGGGGA